CATTTACCTGTACAACAAGAAATTTGATTGGCTGTTTATAGTAGATCCAATCTGATTGGTGTGACATACAAACATACTCTCACTCACTCACTCACTCATCCATTGACCTGTCCATAACATACCTGATGTGCCGACTAAGAGGTATTTTTTTTACAAAAAAATAACTCAACACTAGAATTCAAAATGGCTGCTGCACCGCCAAAAAGGTCCGATATGGGCAAAATTAGCATTACTGTAACTAGCACTTATTAATCCAGAGTACACTTCCTACAAGAAGGTGGATTAAATAATTTCATTTTTATTATTATACAGACGTTAACTATTATTGGAGGGAATTTCTGTGACTCAAAAATGTTTGCCATAGACTTATACTTTGAAAGAGATGTTGTTGTGAGGAAAATTTAAGGTGAGTACCAAAAAAAAAAAAATTTGCAAAAACAATCTAAACATGGACATAATAATAGAAAATGCACAAAAGTTCTGCAGCTGTGTTAATTTAACAGAATTCAGTCATTGCGCTCAGAGCTGGATCTGTACTTGAACAAGATCCGTATTTATGTTGGTTTTGTATTTAGTGTCCTTAACCCTAGAGCAAATACACAATAACCCTGGCTGGGCCTGAATCTAGATGTTCTAATGAATCAATATTAATCTGCAACTGTGTCGCCCACCCTAAATCTAACCCAGTGATAAGTCCCCCAAATTAACCCTCAAACCCCTAAAGGGAACCTCGGCTTAAAAATAGTTTTGTTGTCAAATAATACTTTATGCCTATCTTTAACAATTCCAGTGGTTTTGAATCAACATTTCATTACATGATTCGAATGCAAAGCATTCAATTTTGACCAAAAGTTTCCTGCACGCCGCCATGTTTTCTTCCGAAATGTTTCATGGGAGTTAGTGATGTCACTGCGTTGTCGAARACTTCCAATATGGCGTCTGCTGAGGATATTTTCAGTGACTCCGAATCAGAGTTCGACGAGGGAGAAAAAAACAGCAGTGATCCAAGTTAAGACGAAAATTCAGGTAGCAGTGACGAGGAAGTTTTCGGACGTCTATTGAACCTGGAGTGGTGCAAATGTTTGAACTGCGCCACAACAACATTGAGCCACCCCAGAGAATGTTTGTGTTGTCAAGAGGTTACTGAGGCATCAGCACTAGCTGACTTTAACAGCGAACCAGTTACCTGTATTAATTACACAACACGATGATTTTAGGGCAGTTTGTTTAAATACAGCAGTGCTTAAGACAAGCCTTATCCACATAAAACATTTGATGCAAGGCATGGATTTGTCTGCTACTGAACTTCCAAATGAGTACGTATATATTTAATTTAAGCTCCCATGTGATTCATTAAGAGTATGTATATATATTCTCATGAAGTGTACCAGTTATTTATGATCCGGGCTACCGTGTCCCATTTCACTTTTATGGTAAGCATAAGCATGGACATAAACGATCACAGTAATAATGCAAAAATTCTTTAGTTGTTTGTAATTTATGTTGTTTGGCATGGCCTTCCCATTATTTTCACGAAAATTTCAACATGAATCTTTCATTCAATTTCTAATCGATGTTAATATTGTCATTACTGTATAATTTGACAAACAGGTTTCCTAGGGTAAAATTCCCCCCTTAGATATGAAATACTGTGAAAATGAAATGATGATAATGATAGGAACTCAAGAACTAAAGTGACTTGTGTCTTAAAAACGACAACAAATATCAACTATTAGATCAACTATTTAACTATTTTAAATAAAAATTGAAATATCCAAATGATTAAATTATGGCATAGCTTGAACATCAGTATATTTGCTTAAAAGTTTCAATTACACCTACACTGATCAGTCTCAGTTAATTTTAACAAGTGTTCAAAATTGTTATCTACATTTGTAGAACATACTGTTGGTTAGCATATACACAGTTTGTTTACTGGGTGCATGGAAAACTGTGAAGAGGGCATAGAAAGATTGTACCAGTTGTGTTGTGAATGAAATCCACAAGACATTTCCATCCACTGATGGAATATACACTGGTTTAAAATATTCAACGATGAACATCATACCAGAGTCTTAAAGGGGTATAATTTATTTAGGACAGGAGAGTCTTTCAGTCTTGAACATCTTCCTCCAAGTATACCAGTTCAAGGGGTTTATTGATTTTATAACAAAATAACAGGGATGACATACTTTTCTCTGAAAGCATAGTAGCAATCTTTTCCAGTGGATTTCAAGTTAATGACAGAAGCAAACTGGTGAAATTTTGAAAATTGTATGCCACTGAAAAATAATCCTGCAGTTAAAGTCAGATTCCCTTCACCCTTGACTCCAGGAATAGAAGGTTGTGTTTGCCAGATAAAGTTACAACCATTTAAACAATTTATGCTGACAGAATATTGTGACCCTTCATTTTCTAACTCCTCAATTTCCTCACTGATCTGACTGGGGAACCGCATATTGGGCAGAATTTTAATAGTTCCCCGAGATTATCTTCATGGACCAACAAAAATCTTTTGCTGCCAGAAGTATTGAAGCATTCCTCATACTCATTTAAACTTCATGCTGTACTTGTTTGAGAGGACTGAGATGAGCATTCATAGTCAGGATCATGGTCGATATAAACACCTTCTGTTACTGAGGAGGATGGTGGAGAGAAATTAAGCTCAAAAGAGACTTCTTCAACTGGTGTTTCCTGAAAAGGAGCATTTTGTGAAGCTTCATCATTGCTTCCTTGTTCCTTCACCTTTGAGGAAGACTATTACGAATGCTCACTGGAAATTTCCTGGGCAACATCTAATGGTAACTGCATGCCTTTATTGACCATATTGATCCCACCACTTGGGCTATCAGCTCTATAAGTATCAACCTTTGGATCAGCTGTTTCAGGTGTGCTTCTTAAATTAGTACTGGTTAGTGTGCATGCCAGGTCACAAGAAACAGTTTCACACGAAACATCAGAAGGAGCAGTACCAAAAGAAACATTGTCAGAATAAATGGTGTCAGAGGAAATAGTTGTTGAACTTCTGGTTTCAGTACTGGTGCTTTCCTCATGACAAGTCCCATCTTGCAAGTCTACCTTGCTTCTTTTTTGATTAAACACAAGCTCATCTAAAACCTGTCATCCAAAATTGAATTATTTTCATTGGGTATTTTGATAGTACTAGGGATGCGAGGTAACAAAAGAAAAATACACAATGCTTACCTTTGGGAAACTTTTTATAACTTACTGGCAGGAAATAAACAGACAATGAGATAACGCATTAATATAATATTTTTATTTCAGCTTTTATTAAATTACATGATGAAAGAACTTGTTAAGTTCAAACAAAGCAAAGCAAATTTTTTTTCTCACCTCTTGACGCTTCTGTTTGGTCACTCTCGCCACACTGGTGGCACGCAATTTTGGTGCAGGTTTGCGTGCAAAAATCTTTCAACTTTCATTTTGCCCCTCCTAACAAGTTATTCCGACAGGTCCATGCTTTCATCAAAACAGCTTGGATCGAAATGATCAGAACACAAATATGGACACTTTGGTAAATTTTCTTTGGGTCAGCCAATGGCAGTTACGCATTGCGCAACAATGCGGCATTTCAAGTCTTCACGATACTGGTAGGCTATAATTAGTGTTATATTAGAAATACTACCCTATTGATCTGTAACTTTAAACTGTATACATGCCTAAACACTCCAAACGCAAGTCAAAAACCCGCCATCAGCCCGCCATGTTGAAAGTCAACGCACTGATGTCATAATCTCCCAGCAAACTTTGCGCTGAAAAACATGGCGCCAAGCAGCAAGTTTGAAAGCACCAAATTTGACAAATCTAAGGCCGAGTATTCCAATGAAAAAACAAATCTGTGAGTTTTAGGCACCAAAACGGACTTACACAAAGGTAAATTCACTATTTTGGCCAGAATTGTTTTTAAGCCAAGGTTCCCTTTAAAACCCCTTTCAATAAATTTAAAGGTCTATTATCACAATGTCTCTATATTCCGAGGCAAAAAATAGTACTTTTCCTCTTTTTAGTCTTATCAACAGATACCCCTGCAAACAGGGTCACTTTTTTACTTAACAAGTAACAGTCACGTAACCTTCATACGGGACCACAAGAAGGATTAACAACAAACAAGAAAACAACAGACCTGGGAAACACGATAGCACAGTCACGATACCAATAAATAGTAAACAGACCTTGAAACTCCTCTGAAGAAGTACTATAACATTCAGATAATAAAACCTTGGCTAGTGCTTGTTTAATAAAATGCTCCTTTTGTTAGGGCTAAGGAAGGCTTATTATCAGAGGGAGCTCACACTTATCACCAGAACAATAGCTATTTATTACATTTGGCTTTTTGACAGCGCCGAGCTGCTCCACTTTGGACAACCACTGTCAATGAGAGGACACCACTCCCTAATGCTTATGTACCATTGATTCAAAATCAATAAAATGACAGCACAAGGGCTTATAGCACGAGCAATGACAAACCTTTAACATTGTAGCTGTGAAAAAGGCGGACAGAAGCCACCAAAAATTTAGAACAGACAAGACAGATCAGAATACAAAAACCTTAAAAGTGACTATCAATGATCCCAACACTGGGGCTAGTATATTTGGGTTGTGTATGGGATACTGTGTCAGAAAAGTTTTTGAGGCATACAAGAATAACACATGGTGAAAACTATCTAAGTTTACACAAAAATAAGACATCCTAACATTCTTCAGTCCTAAATGAGGATAACATAATGTAAATGTGTCTCAACACACTATTACCAAAAATGTAAAACAGAACACATGATTACTCCACAATAGGGGGCTATAATTAGAAGCTTTTTTTTCCTTCTTCAAAAGCGAGAATTATATACATGTAATTTAGGGGGTTATTTTTTGGATGGCTTTTGGGTGCTGGGTGGTGTCATTTCCGGAATTTTACCCTGATTTTTTTAAAAAAAAAATTAAATAAAACACTTATACTGGAACAATTATGAAAGCCAATCCACCTTCGCTTAAATTTTAAAAACTTAATTTTCATTAAACCCTGGTGATTCAAGTCACAGAATTTCACAAGCACAAATTATAGGTAAAAATTGTTTTGTGTTTTATATAACTCTTATATAATCTTTGACTATTCAAAACAATGATGCATATTCTTAACTCTGTGCTGATGACTGAGATCAATTCAAAATCGATGATTGTTAGTCAGGAGCTAGTTCCCATAGGAAAAAATATTCTGCAGTGGTTATTAGAACTTTGTACTAAAAGATTGATCACAAGTTTAAGCCTTGCCTATTGACACACTGAAGATGGCCCACTTGTGTGCATGCATGCATGAATGAATGAGTGAATGAATGGCCACAGTAGTTTTAGATAACATGACTAACACACAGAAAATAATAATATTAATTAGGAGCAGCTAAAACTATTTCAGCCCAAAACGTCCTGTCCTGTTAAGGAAATAAAAGCTCACATATTCTATTTTAAAGGAATAAAGTTAGGTATTTACCTCAGAAGCTTCTCCCAGTCGTCACAGTTTAAACAGACAGTCTCCCAGCTGAAAAATACAATATGCAAAATACCACATCAACTATACAATCAACTCCCAGCAACCATCTTCCTTTACAAAAATTTTTCACAAGCAGGTGAATTCTTCAAAAGAGGAGAGTTCTAGTTTTGATACCCTGAGCTGTTGTTGTGTTTTGAGCATTGAAAAACACAAACAAAAGGTGCAACAGAAGAGAGAAAGAAGAAGCCAAACAGTGCTACAATTACAGTGCTTCATTAAATATGCTTCACATGGCCCCAACATTATACCACCAGCTGGTCTGTATGGCTAATTAACATAACAGCCTCATGGTTTATTTAATTTTCTCTAACTCAGCAAATCATAATAATAGAAATTTAATACACAACTTTCCATATATGGTGGAGCTATTTCCATGTTAGCAAACATTACCTTAGCATGTTTACTTAGCAAAGTGTTAAAATACAATTCATAGTGGTAACTATCATTGTCATACATCTCACTCGTGCCTATGTATGTACACATTTTGACATCAGAATTTCCCTTTAAAATTAATTTTGCCCATGTTTGTTGTCAGAGCTATCTGTCAGATGGCTAAGAAAAGAAAACTTGAGTAGATCAAAATTGCTATGTTTGACATGTTTACATATGTCATACTCCCCCTAATTTAGCCAAACAGGACATTTGTAATTATTATGCACAGCCAGAAAAAATATAGATATTTATAAATTCATGACTTCAGGCAGATGATAGATTAATACCATGCTGATCAAAGTAAAATATCTAAAAGAAAACCAAAATTTCACAGTGGTATGCCAGATTCATATATATTTTGTGTAGCATGCACTAAATAAAGCAGAAAATTAATATGATTTTGCGAAACACATGCATGTGAACAAATACTAACTATTATTTTCAAAAAACTAACTGATCTGTTTCATAAAGAAATGAATTCGCAGTTGTGCCATTTTACATTATTCCATGCAGTTTATTTCACTTATTTGAAAACATATTTGAAAGAAGTGATCTCAGATAACAGAAAATATGAAGTTGGTAGCCTTGAACACTGGAATAATTTTTCAAATTAACAAGACCCTACAGAGCGGCCTGCTGTGAGTTTCCACGCAGATTTCAGAGTATTCATGCTTGAATTCACTAACAGCTTAATGTAAAACCGGTATTCACAAACAAATATGCAATGCATACATGTGAGTTATTTAATGGGGGGAAATCTTAATAAACAACCTCTTGAAACTAATTACTGGTAGGTTGACTTAATGACATTAAGTGTTCACTGAAACAATATTAAAATGTGATTGATGTCACACACTCATGGTAAGGAAGATTGTAATCACCAAAATACAGCACTGTATATAAAAAGATGGCACTTCTCATCTCATTCCATAGTCATATCAAAAGACAACTGATTAAAACCAGTTTAGAAATTCTTGCAAATGCCAAAACTTCAAAAACGTTTATAAACTGCAGCCATACATGTAGATAAAGCTGTTAAAGTCTGAAAATAATACAGATTAGTATTATTGTTAGTTTTATACTCTAGCTGGGCAGTAATTACACTCTACATGGAACACAATAAACTTATCATTTAAAATCTGGAATCCACTTAGTGTCCAAAGATGATAAAATTGTGATAACAGGGTGGACAGAAAATCAGTTTTTCAGCTAGCACAAACAGAACTGGGATGTACTTGCCTGATGTTCATTTTCATGAGGCAGTAAGGAAAAAAATTACCCACCAGTCAGCACAATTAACCAATTTTTAATTAAAATTAAAATTCAATCTCTAACAACACTTCAATCTGTAATTCAAATTTTTCCAAATTTTAAACCAAAAGAAAAAAAACCTAACTTGCCCATCAAGCAAGTGGAGGATGAAATCCACTAGCAAGACACAACTTTCCTTTCTTGGTGGATAACATGATTTGGCCAAATAGCCATGGGGCAAAATGGACGGGTTATTATAATATAATGAATATAATTTATTGTTCAGAGTAATAGACAGTACTGATCTACATTTAAATGTCCTTCAACCTTCAAAGGGTTGTTCAAAGCCCAATTATACTGCCCACGGATTACCGAGAATTATGATTTTATTTTTGTAACTTTTCAGTGAGGTTTTCTGGTAATACTGTATTCCTGTCCATTTTGAGTTTCAATAATCTCAAACTACACAAAACATAAGCAGTGAAAAACACTTTTACATGACAAAAGTTAATACTTCAGTTAACGTTTAATCAAGGGTTAGTGTTAACCGGCTTTCGAAAAACTCAGCCCTGGTGATTGGAGTTAAAAAAATCCTATAGAAAAACAAAACATCAACAAGTATCTGCTAAGTACATGTCGCATTCACCCAGGCTGTGTATTACCTGTATCTGGTGTTGCCCCCAACACTTGCATAGACTTGCTCATCTTCTTAACTGTTTTAGCATTGTACAGTGAAACTCAGAAAACCATGAACACCAGATTGTTATTGTGTAGCAAAGGAAAAGCCAATTAGATGTGAGAAAACTAAACCGCAAACAGAAACAGTAATTTGGTTGGTAGTTTTGAGGCTTGCTCGCATGTCATAAACTTTATTGTGATTAGTCAGTACACAATTGACCAGTCAGAATCAAATAAGGGTGTTCACAGTTTTCTGACTCACACAGTAATTGCTCAGCACGGTCCAAGATTTGAACATTTTGGCTTTCTCACTATGATACCTCAGTGTGTTATTCATCACTTACTCACCCTGTTCGCCGTCCCTTCTTTCCTATGATTTCACGGTAAAGTCTCAAATCTGGTGAGATAAAAGAATTATTGAAACTCCAAAGTTTACAAGCATAACCTTGAGCTCGATTTCTAAACTTGAATTATCTCACAAAAGACAATTTTAAACTTACAAGGAGTGGACAAAAAGTCCCTAAGAAACCTGGTTCTAAAAGTTCAGGGGTTTTCTGAACAAACAAAGAAAAAGTGACAATGAAATAAAAAGCACATATAGAATCTGTCCCATTCTCCACTACTGTTAAAAATCAATTATGGCAGAACAGGGTTTTTTTTCAAGAAAACATTTTATTCTCTTGATTTACTGATGGTGAAATGACGTGCCAAGCACCTTAAAATGTCGATACCTAATCAGAAGGTGCCTCGCTAAAGGTTATTACGTAAAGCACAACAAAACTCGTCTGACATTGCAAATGTTAGCATCTTTGTTTGTGTGCACTTTATCCTTCCTTGTGACATTATTGTGTAACAACAAATTATCTCCCACTGGTTTTCTTCGTGTGAAACCTTTTGTTTTGTCCCAGGTCTCCACAAGATATACTGAGGACAGCGGGAATGGGCTTTGAGTATTTTTCACATAATCATGGTTAATCCCTGACCAAACTGCATAAAATGTCAGATCTAGTAGTGGCTTCTGGCCTCAACTTACAGCCGTCCTTTCTACTCATTCTTTAAGACTAATAAGTTCTCAACAAATTTTCCTTCTTCATTTAGGAAAAATATAGTTGAGAGCACTGTGACCCCAAATGTCTCTTACAACATTCAATGATATTAAATCAGCCATGTTAAATTATTTCAATTTTCCCTGAATCAAAATAGAATTTCCCATGACTTTTTCCTGGCCTTGAAGAATTTTTTGTCTCTGACCATTTCCTGACCGGTGACAACCCTGATGATACTTTAATTTGGAATCTGCTTTAATTTGCACGACCCATAAGATCTCAAGAAAACGCTGCAGGTTCAGAAATTCTTGTTGACTTACGGCAGCTAGATTAAAGAAGTAGATTAAATTATACACATGAAACCATGCACAGGGATCACAATATTATCATTGAAAGCTTATAATGTTGTGATAAATGGTCAAAGATTACACTGTAATGTGTTGCAATTATTAAAAGGTGTTATGTTATTAACATAACAGACTTTGTTATAGTTAAATGCTGCTGACTGGGACACATTGTGCTGACAAGTTAGTACCAATTTAGTCAAGCACGTAACAAAATTATTTGAATACAAATTGAAATTACAAAAGGCAGGAAAGAACAATAAAGAGTCCCAAAAATGTTAATATACAAATCAAACTTTGAGTTCAATTGGAGCTCTCAGCTTGGTTAACACGTTACACTGTGATGCATATTTGTGATGATAATGCTGAAGTGGGAAGAAACTAGGCAGTATATACAAGTTCACTGAATTGACTTTGTATAATCAGGTGGTGTACCTGAAATGCTATTGGTGGGTTTAAATTTTTTTTGCCTGGATGCAACCGTAACTTGTAAGTAGTGATGCTTAAACAACATTTACTCTTATTCCATTGAGAGTGAGTGTTAGTAATTAAGAGATGATCCACTTTTAACAAGAACTTCTCTAGCTTCTACAAACACACTATGAGACAAGTTAGAATACCTGTACATGTCACAAATGACAAAATTCAAGATAAAAACTTTTTCCATTTTGATCTTAATGCCTCAGCAAAATTCCACATTTAGAATCTTTCAAAACAGAAATATTGCTATAGATTTGCATTTGGTAAGCTCAACAAATGTAAACAATATATGCTTGGCTGGTCACAGAACTGTGGCTGTTATAAATATTCAAACCTCTGGCAGGATTCTAAAAAGGCTTTTTTGTGGCCAGACAAAGAGTGTCAGTTTTGATTCATACTAGTGAAGAGTTCATTTTGTGTTAGTCCTTAAAAGATCTACATTTTAAGACCTAAAACTCCCCAAACCACCCTAAATCCAACCTCAAATATAGTAAATCAAGTTAAGTTTAGATTATGCTAAATTAAAAATATATATATATACTACAAGCGTTGGACAGGATCCATATGGGTCACTGAAAATCTAGCAAACCCCAAAGTGAATAAACCTTAATTTCCAAAGAAGATTTTAAACCTACATTTTAAAGCAGCTGAGACAAAGACTGGAGTGAAAATAATCCCACTGAAAAAGCCATGAGCTTCTTGCCTGAAGACGACTTTTTAAAACATATGCAAAACATGCAAGCCCCATGAAACATTTATTCCTTTCTGTTGTTTGTTCTGACATGTGACTAAGCCTAATTGCATTTTCCTTGTAACCCTACAATGGCTTTTTAATTTGAATCTTGTCAACAGCCTTGGGGAACAATGAGGCTGCTTAGAGCTCATTGGAACACAGCAAAAAACGGAGTGTAAACACTCACTGCTCTCAGGAAACAAGCTCTGTGATTGGATCCTCAACTGGCCTGTCACCTGCTGCACAAAAATGGCTCCATTCATTGGAGCTACAATATCAACAAAGACTATAAAAACACCAAATGTATGCAAATTGGATTTCTTAAATGCATGACAAATTTCCATGACAAAGCTTATTCACAGAATGTTTGGCAGCAGTAAACAATGGCTTGAAAGGCATCTCTAGACAACCAAGCAGAAAATATCAAAAAGAAAGGAATAGAATTTCTTGTTTCTTTCAAAACAGCCAAAATCTGGTGAGCAGTTGGAACTAAGAAAATTCAAGTCTTTGCTGCAATTGCTTGAAGCGACTCTGTTATTAATTATAATAAAATTATATATCCCATATTCAAATTTCACATACAGTATAGCAAAACTGAATGATATTTTTCATTCAGATTTTTCTTAGTTCTTTGATTATTTTTACTCTGAATACAAGGAAAAACAAAGGATATCAAAAACAAGTATAAGAAACAAGTAGTTTTGTCCTTAACAGAACTTTAATTCTATAAGTGTTGTTTGAAAACACACTACTCCAGACATGAAATCTTTTCCTAGTTGACAGTACAGCCACACAGTATTTTGACTATGTCTAAGAAAGGAAAATAAACAAGTTAAATCAAACTGAAGAACTGTGATAACATTAAAAGAAAATATACAACAAACAATTTCCAGTTTAAAACTGTTAAAGTACAAAATAGTGGTGTACATTAAAAAGGTTACATGTACTTTTAGAAATAATTTAAATAAAAGATATATGGAATAAAGTAAAAACTTCTATCAGGAATAGAAATGCCACAGTACAAAATAATACATTTCAAAACAAGTCAAAAACTTGTTGGCATACATCGAGACACTGAATCAACAAAAACAACATATTTGTTTAAACTGGTATAAATAGATTTAGTCTCCTACACTGGAATATCCCTAGAGAAAAATCAATATTATTCTGAAGGGGAATTGCAAGTGTGCTTGTAAAACCACTCAGTCACTCAGAGATAGATTTTTGGTGCGGAATTTTTTTGAGGAATATTGAGCAATGTTAATGCACCAACCAGTTTGGTTTTCCCAAGCCTGGGAATTGTTGAAGAGCAGTCTTTCAACGAAGCATCATCCCGAATTATAAAGTCTAATTCAGTGAAAAATTAGATGCTAGTTTTCATAATTCAGTACCTTTCAATTTTCCATTTACTCGCTAAACAGATGAGAGATGACAGTTCAAACTGAGTGTTATGACACATAACCTTGCCGACAGCAAACTATCAAAATCTAAAATTCTACACCAACTTATACCATTCACATTCTTAACAATATTCTTCTTTCCTCAATAATATACCTATATTAAAAACATGTCAGAATTTACGGTTCACAAGACCATTTCAGAAAAAACCCGAAAACCCTTTGTCCCTGGTAGTGACAAATTATATTATTTACAACACTAAATAGCTGACAGGTCATAAAGGACATTCTAAGATAATACATGCCTCTATAGGCACCAGTTGTAACTGTCAGTGGTAATATTTGATGATTGGGCAGTTTTGATTTAATTAATCTAACATATTGAGCCTGGGCAAAAAGGAAAATAAAACAAAGGAAATTGTTAATTATTGTCCCAACATCAATGTGACCTCTTTTGTTTAATCCACTCTCCTAAGCCTGGGCACCTTGTTAGAATTTTAAATATCAACATTGGCCTAAGCACTGGATGTAGAAAAAACATGCTTATGCCATTGCTTAATCTACAACACAAGAAAAATGGTGTAAAACGTATCTGATCTTAAAATAATTAGTCAGTCTGCACAGTATAGATCACCAAGTATAAACCTGGTATACGGTAGTCTAAACTGAATTATTTTAACCAATTGCATGCATCTACAAACAAAAATATGGATGCAAATCTCTCACCACACTAACTGCACTGTGTCATTTAAAAGACAATTGACACAAAAGCTGCCCCTTGCCTGATCTCACTAAGATAATAGAACCAACAACAAATTCAAAAGACTCAAAAGCTCTGATGTTACACTGCTGTGACAATACCACCTACTAAAAAGAAATCTCTTGGCCACAAATAATGACCACACCATGCTGCCTTAGTAAGTTTCTGAATACTACCCAAATTTACCACTTCAATACATTAATTAACACTGAAGCAGTGTCATGTTGAAGCTTCCATCTAAAAGAAGTGGTCAAATAAATTTTACAGCTCATACAATTCTCCTAGTTCCTTTCACTACCACATGTAACTTCCAAATAAATTTAAATGTCAATCATACAGCATGCCGGACCCTGTAGTAAGAGAAAAACTGCCCAAAACTCAGGAGTACCATCCAAAGTGCAATGCACTGATTAAATTGTGGTATTACCTGATATAAGCAAGTTGTTAACAACAGCAATCACACAATAATTATGGTCATGTACCTACCATCAAAGTACCAATAAATGTTATTGCTGCCATCACGTCCAACAGGCTTCACT